ATATTAGTTTAGAGCGTTATGTAGGCAACACACCTATTCAGCGAATTCAAAGAACTTCAAACAGCGCCAAGGTCTTAATGCAGTGCCCCACGCCGCTCCACTTGGGGTAAGACAGTTTGCTATAAAAACAAAATCCGCCACTAAGTAGCGGTGCTTATGACATAATAGCTATCGTGCACAGTGGTCTGACGATAATAAAAATAATAAAGAGAATAATATTTCTTTGACTTGTTGCAGAAAAGAAAATAATTTTATATAATGTGGCACATAAGCTGAAAATATAATTGAAACGAAAGTCGGACAAATGGAAAATACATTCACATTAATAGAAATGAAAGCTTAAAGTTATTATCTTTCCAGTTTCATTCTGTGTGTTCGCTTCTCTTAAACTAAAAAATTAGCTAATTAATTGATATTTACTATAATTAACCGGAAGCTGCATTCAACTCAACCACTATATTTACGTATTCAACTATCTATGCACTATCTACAATATATACTACATTATGATTTTATGTAAAATAAATTTATATATCGAATAGGATTAGGATTTTCGTGTAAATTTTCTTTATTTATTTTATAATCATTTTCTAATCTATTTGATATTTGATATTTCCAATATATGATGACCAAGTGAGTGCAACAATAATGTATGTTCCACTGATCCACTTTGTTGCCACTGAACACGTTTACTAAGTGGCTGTTCCATGCTCCATGTTCCGCGCTCTTTGTTCCACTGTCCATTTGCCATATTATTATTTTGGCTGTTTGTATTTGGGCACATTAATGGCTCGTCTGCCTGTGTGTTGGTTGGCATTTTAGGTAAATTAAAAAATAACATCCATTTTCATCCACCTCAAGAGGGTAATATAATTTTCTTAAAAAATATGTGACACAGACAACTGCAAAAATGTAGATATGACTGAAGAGCTCATTTGTTAGCAAGGCAGGAAGGAATCTGTCTGCTAGATTGTAGAGCATTATAGCTGGTATTAATTGCTCGCTGAACGATTTGTTTACAAAAAGTTAATTTAAATGGAGATTACATTTTTATTAATGCAGAGTCAACAGAACTAGAACTGCCTTAAGTATATATACAGATTTTTTTAAAAATCTGTTTTAATTTGTAAATAATTAAAAGAATAAATTTTGTGTGAAATCCTTCAATAATTTGATTAACAGCGTTCTGCCTTATCTCTTAATTATATCAGAGAAAACTTTGTAGAGTAGTAGTAATAGAGTAGTTGTTGTCGATAACATAGAGATAACATAGTATTAAGTTGGAAACTTGATTCAGTTGACTCCTTCTCCTTACATATTTATCGAACTGTCTTACTTCCATATTCCATCAGATAACATATAGCATTAATAAAAGATACTTCATTTTGAAAATGCTTCTTCTTATATATTTCTCGAGTTCTATTATTTCGATAACATAGAGATAACATAGTATTAATAATATTTCAGCTATAAATTCTTCTTCTTATATAATTGCAGAACTGTATTATTTCGATTATACAATTATCATCAAAACAATTTGTTTCTACATAACTTCATTCAATTATCTTAGGGTATTTTCTTATTGACGGTTTCAACGTTATCTTCCTTGTTTATCAAGTATTTTTTCATGCATATTTTTTTTTGCAACTCACATTTCGTGGGTGGGCGTCATATCTGCTAAGTGTTCTGTTGTTCATATTTATTTAGTTATTTTGATTTGCGGGCATACAATTTGTTGATTTAGTTTTGTGAAAACAACAACAACGAATCACATATGAAGCTCGTCAATGTGTGCTAATTTCTTTAAAAGCTTTGACTTCCCCTCGACGAACAGGCATAGGTCAAGTGGCAATAAGTCAAATAGCTGAATACTTTAAACCAAAGCAGTTGGAGCTGTTCAAAGTCCTAGGCGCACACAAATACACATGGACACAGGGACAAATTGGCCAACTGGCCATGCTGGCCATATCATTATCGACGGGCAAGAAGATTGTTGACAATGGCCAGTGGCATTGATGGCCTGTAAAACCTTCGAGCTTTGGACTCGCCTGCTGAGCTGGCAGTGACAAAGCAAATGTCAAATTAATTTGATACCTTACTTACACATGAACACCTTTCGCCCACCTGTGTCCGCCTCTTTCAACAATGCTACGGATGCGGCTCTATTGGCAACATCAAAGGGCTGACGATGCCAAAAGGGGCAGTGCATGCACGCACTAATGGAGGCTGGTCACCTGGCTGTCAATTTCATTTATGTTTTCAATCGATTGTGCTCGGCGATAGCAGTCACAGCTACGCCTCCCCCTCGCCGGCACACCACACACACACACACACACACACACATGCACGCAGCCAATATTGGTTAGATTTTTTACAGCTAAAATTGAATTTTCCTTTGGCTTTGCCTTTGCCTTTTAGCTGTCCAGCTCGCGTCCAGGTGAATTTTTGTTTGCTTGACCAGGCATGCTGTGTATGTGAGTGTGTGCGTGTGCATGTGTTTGTATTCAGGGTATGGTCGGCAGTCCGTCACGCTGTGAATACATTTGACTTTTGTTTATTGTACCACGACAATGGCGATGATGATTTGTCTAATTTGATCGATTGTTTATCTCGCCTAATGCTGTTTGCCCTTCATCAACAAGAACCTGAACAATGCCTTAGATAGCTCAAGGGCTACACCCCAAAATCATATTTGTCACTTAAACAAATGGCAAAGAAATCACAGATATCTTGACATGATTGACAATTTATACAAAGCGAAGGCATTTATTTGTATTTACATTGCGTGTATGTTTTTTGCCTTAGCTTCAACTTGACGGATCGGAAATGTTCGCTGTCTGCCGTCAATGAATTCGAATAGGGTATTGTCAAGGCTTGTCTTAAATCCTTATTAGCCACCCTTTCTGCTCACAGTCGCGAAACGACCGAGCAGTCGCATTGATCCTATTGCCTCCTAGTGGCATATGAGCAGCAGCAGCCACCGACTAATGGGCATTTTGAGCAGCTCCTGAAAATCCTTCCGGGCTTTTCCATAGTTTTGCTCGCGTGTTGTGAGACTGCAGTGCAGTTCGCTTGCTTGGCCCAGAAAAACAGACTCCACTTTCAGCGTTCATCGCTGTTTTCGCACCTCATGCAAAAACTGCACCTGCTGCTCACTAAACACACCTTCGACGCAGTGGACGTTACCGAATGAATTTAGCTGCCGATATTCTGTTAAATAGGCAGCTTTAAGAATATCGTCATAGTCCATTGTTTTCTCGGTAATAGATTGTTTTTTGCTCTGTTCATTATAGACTTTTCTTTTAGTATCAAAGGACTAATCGAACTAATGTCTACTCTGACTATATATACTATATTCTTATGTTTAAGCTCATCCACATACTTCAAAAGAATCGTAAAAATAACCAAAATGTTTATTATTTAAAATATCCCAAGTTTGTTGCAGTTTTTCACTTGTTTGAACATCGCAGGATAGATTTCTGGCATAAAGTATTGCATGACTCATATAATCTACTCATCAAACTCTTAATTAAAATTCAGCGGCAAGTAAATTATATTTATGCCAAAAAGAAATTAGATCAAATATAACTTAATGTAGAATTTAAATAGGTACAAGATTAATTTTGATTTAAGCAATATATTTTATTTTTATATAATTTTGATTTAAGCAATATATTTTATTTGTATACTATATATGTATATAATATATATTCACACAATATAATAAATTAACATTAAACATATATAGCACATATTTTCTTGGTAATTTTTCAAACCCTTTTTTGTTTGATTTAGAAACTTTAACATTTCTTGGACAAATTTTTATGCCCAAGATACAAAATAGAAGTTTTTTTTTTATAATTTCAGATATGTCAAGCCCGAAACTCAACTAAGAATTGCTCACTCATGCATTCAATCTACTCATAGCTCCTTTTTCGTATATGTTTGACATCCATTAACAGATTGGTTTTTTTTTTTTTTTTTTTTTTCAAAAAATACATACGTCATTGTAGTTGGCGCAACCTCTCTCCTTTGGTAAACAAATTTCTACAAACAATTCCTCAATGACAATTAACGTTATTTGAGTGCAGTCTTAGTAGTTTTAATTAGCATAATTATCATTTAATGCATCTAACCCTTGGAAAAGTTAATTCAATAACCCCATGAGCTATACAGTAAATTCAGTTGGCATGCTTTGACAGAGATATAATAATACAAATTAATTAATGAATGTTACAAAAAAAATGTAAGCAAATAGTTTCAAAAACCACATTATAACCAATTCTTTAACAATTGAGTTAGTTAATGAAATTTAATGTTAAAATATATATAAAAAAAAATATACAAATTTTAAATAAATTAAAATAAATATGGATAGCAATATAAATAACAATAAATTGAAATATATATACATAATTTAAAAATCAATAATATATTAAATAGGCAATAAATTCAAATAAATATTAGTAACATAATAGTAGAAATTATGAAATTAATAATAAATTAAATAAAAAATATAAATCATATAACTTTTAATACTAAATTAAATTAAAATAAAATATTAAGAAAAATAACTCTAAATAGTAATATGTAATAAAGTTTTTTATTTTATTAACGAGTTTACTGCTACCTTAAATGGCAGCTTAATCTAGTTTTACATTAAAAAAAAATATTATTACTTATTACTTAAAAGTCATTTGATCAGCGGCATATACTTATGTATTTCTAGCCTCTATCAATGATCTGCTCAAAATACTCCTTTTATATAGAAGTTGCCATCCGCTTTAGATTGTGTAACCAGGATGAAGTGGCAAAGCTTCTCATGCAATTTAACTAATAATGATATAATGCTTATTACATAATATTCTATAGTATACAAATACATTATTAGTATATATTATTTATATATAAACAACATAATATAATAAGTAATAATAATAATAATAATAAGTGATAATCATATCCATATATAATAATAATATTCATTTCTTTTCTTGCAGCTTAAATTGAATTCAAGTAATAACGGTAAGTTTGGCATGACTTTTATCCTACTCTAGCATAGCCAGGAGTTTTATTTAATATTTCGATGTAATTTTTCTTATTTTACGTCCTCATCCATTTTGTCTTTTGTTTGCTTATTGTTATCAACCCTCCTAGCACTGGCGGCGAGTCCAACTTGTCAAATGGCTCGTCGTCCGTCTATTAGCATACTCAATGTGTAGTTAAATTTCACTCCGGCGTAGTCCATGCGGCACTTGCTAATGATGGCCGTCGCACGGTTGCTCGATAAATGGGCATTTTATGTTGTCCGCTGGCTAAGGAAACGCTTTGCACATTATCCACACGCCACACGCTGATCAAATGGTCGTGCAACATGTGGCTTGGGTTTGTTCTTCTTCGTCTACGTCTTCTACGACTTGGCTGTTTTCTTGCTTCTAATTTGATTTATATTTATAAAGCCGAGAATCATTTGCTTTCGATTGCCGTAATAATAAAGCGTCGTTACATTTAAATAATGACCGGGCCAAACGAGAACGAGGAGAACGCTGGGGACGATGAGGCCGATGAGGACGATGAGGACAACGTCGTCGACGTCTGGTAATGGCTATGAAAATTCAATTATAACCCGCAGCCGCAGCATGATGGCCACAGTGTTTGGGCTCAGAGTGGGAGTGGGAGTGGGAGTGGGAGTGGCAGTGTCTCTGTCGCAAGGAGCCATATAAAACACGTTGCAAGATTAATTGTGCTCGCTGTCTTACATTACGACGCGCATACGCCGTGTTGTACATGTGTAAATAAGAGCAGAGAGGCACAGCAACATTGTCGGCTGCTGCGACTGCTTTTTTGGTCATCATATTTAATTCAAGCATAAATTTTTGCACGCATATAAAATAAAAAGGACACGCCGCGCGACAGGCAGTCAGGCAGGCAGCCCGGCAGCCAAATAAAAAGAATTAATACGTTTCGGTTAATTTATGTGGGCCGTGGCCAACAATGCCGAGTTGCTCCATTGCCGCCGCCCAGGCCATGCGACGGATGGAGCCATGAAAAATTGCCCGGCCAGGCCTCGGCTCGAACCAATGAGCCACAAACGGCCGTGACGAACGCCAAGCGACACGCACCCTTGCCCAGACCCATGACCACTCTCTCTCTCTCTCTCTCTCTCTCTGTCTCGCTCGCTCACTCTGTTGCTGCCTTGGCTCTCTATGCCAATGGGCTTTTGTTTCGTCACCCTTTTTGGCCGGCTTCACTTCAGCTTGGCCATTTGGCTGCCTTTTGTTATTGCACTGGCCATGGGTAATTACGGACGTGTGCGCATGTGTTGGCCGTGCCCGCCCGTGCCACCTGTCATTGTTGTAGAATGCGCCCCAGCCCCATCCTGGCTGCATTTTAATTTGTCATAATTCTGCTCGTTCACTGACTAATTAGCTAGTCAGCAGCGGCCCCGCCATCTGCTGCCGGCGCCTCGGCCATTTCCACTGGGCACACACAATCAATGCCCAGATCAGCTACCCGAAATGGGGCGGCTTTTGATTACCTAGCTTACTTGACTGGAATCTGGCACGGCACCGCGTCTAGCCGACTATGTTCCTTTGCCAGCGACGCTGCCAAGACCCAGCTGTAATATAACTATTAAAAATTATTGCGCTACTCAGCGCTTTTTGCGGGAAACATCGAAAATTAAAGTCCACAGATCAATTTTTTGTTTGCTTGCCGAGCCGTCTGCGTCTGTCAATTGATATTACGCTGAGCTGTGCATTAATTTCTTGATTATTATCAGCAAATTTAGTTGTTGATGTACTATAATAATATTGAAACTATTTTTCAAAGGCTGCAAGCAACAGTTAAGCGTGTGATTCTTAACGCTCTCGCTCTTCGATCGCGAACGAAATCGTTCAAACCGACGCATTCGTATTACGTAAGATTCTTACGTAAGTATTTTATGTAAGGATCTTCGTAAGTATCTTACGTAAGCAGCTACGTAAGTATCTTACGTAAGCAGCTACGTAAGGAGCTACGTAATAGTCTAACTTTAGGTTCTACGTAAGTATCTTACATAAGAGAGTGTAACACTCTTACGTAAGGTTCCTTGTAAGAGTCGAATGTTTTAAATGTCTAAGTTTCACGTAAGAGTGATACGTAAGGATCTTAAGTAAGGATCTACGTAAGAGTCTTACGTAAAGATCTACGTAAGGATCTTATGTAAGGATCTACATACGTAACAGTCTTACGTATAACTTTATGTGCAAGGTTTCATTATTATTTTATTTTATTATACTATTTTAAATGCAACCAAGTTTTTCTTTAAATTTGAAACATGACCAAACGAATCAGTTTTTTTTTTTTTTTTTGCAAGGGTGTTTGGCCTTTGACTTTACCAGAAGATTTTGATTGTATCGGTCACTTCTTCATCTTTTAATCTAATATTTTGGGTCACTATTTGGCCATGCTGATTCATTGTCCGTGCTTGGCCGCGCTTAAGGGAAAAGTCTACGTACCCCAGGGAGGCACTTTTCGTCGTCAGAGAAAAGTAAATATATGGCCAATAGTAATTCCTATTTTCGAGGCTTGTATCTGAAGGAAAATGGAAATGCTTGAGCACTCTACCCATTTGTAAAGTTGTAGCAATGGTCAGGAATTTAAATTGAAATTAAACTTAAACTCTTTTAAAGTATTTAATCAGATATTCAATTGTATTGAGCTTTCCGTATCTGCCTGATTTGGACGATCAACTCGTTCGTATGCAACACAACATTATACAAAAGGTAGCCTTTGGCACCTTAGTCAATACAATAGATGTATACTATATCCGCGCTTCACATCAGAGATCAAAAGCAACAATTTGGGTGCGATGCATGAAACCATAATCTTGATTCCTCATCACTTGCGCCACACTCAACACTTGCCAGCACCAACTTAATTTTTCAGCCAATAAACCATTCAAGCCCTCTTCGCACATAAAATATACTCAAAGCAACAGCTTCTAACAGGGCCGCTAAAACCACATAAATCAATGTCTAAATGAACCCAACAACCCACAATATAACCGGAGCCAAACTCTGCACCCGAGCTCGGCCACGGGCCCCAGCAGCGAACACACGCTCAAACCTTGTGTGTGAGGGGGCGTTGAGCGGGCCGGCCATGCCCATTTCGATTTCCATTCCTACATATACATTGCCATGGCAATGGCATGCAGTGACAGAAATTGCAAAATATTTGATTTGTGCTTATTTAATTTGAAATCTTGTGCACGAAAGCGGACCCACATCCCAGAGAGGAATGGAGCACAAAGCTCGACTCACAGCCAAATCCAAAAACCGCAGACCACACAGACACACACACACACACACACACAAATGTGTGTGTGCTCGTGTGTGGGTGTGCAGGCTACTTTGGCTCGAATGTGCACTGATTTAGATGGATGACACCAGTGCCGGAGCATTAAGCAGCCTAAGGCGCAACATGCAGCTCTCAAGTGCGCTGTGCCGTTTTCAAGTGCTGTCAGCTGCACTTAGTCGACATTGGAATTTGAGCTGATGAATTTTGGGTAGCATACAAAGCGCTCTCCGAGACGAATGTAGAGATGGCGATATAGTCCATGGCCAATATGCTTATATGGAGGACGTTAATAATGGCAATGATGATGCTGATGATGATGATGTTTGTGGTCGAAGGCAATGCTGTCGAATACCATTTCATGTTCAATTAGTACAGGCAAGTCCACTCCGGCTCGTATATAAAATGCCTCCGAGTCTAATTAATTACGGGCTACTGGCACTGGGCAATGGGATCTCAGCATTGTGGTTGGACCCACTCCAGGACCCATCAACAACATCATTATTGGTGACAAGCAACAGCGCAATTGCACTGTTGCCAACTAATGAGGAAATCGGTTGATATCCAAATGGATATTTCGCTAGAGGCTAAATATTATCGAGTCAAATCCAGTGCACGACATTGCATAACAACAGATAACAACAAAGATACCAGCTCAACTCTATAGAGCAGAAAAAATATACAAATACAAGAAGAAAAAAAAAAAAAAAAAGAAAGAAAAAATAGAGTAGAAAATGTCTGTCAGCAATTTGCATATTGAATTACATTCATTGTTGATGCTCGCGTGCGTTAAAAATCCTTTTCGCTTCCTGCTCCAACTGGCCGTGGCATGTGGGCTGAGCTGGCATTGTCCCGGCTCCTTGTTCACATTTTGATGCCTTTGAGTGACGCTGACAATGCTGCCAATTGGCAGCCGCCACGCAAAGGCAAATCTTATAAAATATTCAGTTATTACAAACTCACACACACACACACAAACGAACTGTTCCACATTTGCAGAATTGTTTATGAATGCTGAATATATATTCTTTTCACTTGAATTCACGCATTCAAATAAACTCACACAACAATATTCCATTAAATATTCTATGGACGTATTGAAAATTCAGCTCACAAGTCACGGAAATGGTTCAGTTTCACTTAGTATAAGGCTAATAACTATAATAACAGTAATTCTCTTTTCTTTCCTTAGGCTTTAGAATTTTATATACTAAGAGAGAAAGTATAGCGAAAAGCCGTTAATTTAATTATTTTATACTCGGAATTCATTAAAACTGAGCAAAAAACAAACCCCTGTACTCTATGTATGCCATATAATATATATATATTTTATTGATCTGTAGGCCAAGCTGTTGAATGTTTTTTGAAAAGCACAATAGCTAATTGTTGACAAAATGACATTACAGATAGATATTATAATTTTGATATATTTGTTTTTTAGTAAATTTACTATTAAATAAACAAACAAGATTTTAATAAATAGCTTGAAAAACTATTTTTTAAAATTAATTTTTTTTTTTTCAATTTAATTAAACTTACGTGAAAAGGTAGCCAGAAGTTTGTCATCAGCGCACTAAAATTCAAAACATTATTTGTGTATATTTATTAACTACAATGCAAAACATAATTTGTGTATATTTATTTACTACTATAAGTCGTCAATATCAATGAATAAATATCTCAAGTTA